AGCCTGTACGACCAAAAACCAAGACAACTGAAGCCTGGACGACCTATTATAGCTGAGTTGAAAGCTTGTACATTTTAAATTCCCAAAATAACTTGTACAACTCTCATTAAAGCATGCACAAAAATGTAATTTCCTCATATTGTACCTCATCCCTTATTATTTATATTAAATTTTCATTTAAATAAAATCTAATATATATATATATATATATATATATTATTTTTTATTAATAATTTTAATTTATTATAAATTTTTATGTCCCTGCTGTTAATTAAATTATTGAAAATAATAATCATTAATTATTTATATAACTCGAACACGAATGAACAAACCTTTTTTGGGTTCGGCTTGTTTATAAATCGAGTGCAAAAAAAAAAAAAATTATGTTCGACTAATTTGCTTGCGGAACAAATCGAACACGAGCTATTTTGACAATTCTAATCTCTGCCCTCTCTCTTCTTTCTAAAGTTTTAATTCCTTGAGATACTATTCATGAACAAATCTTGATTTAATGCTATATATTTACATATCAAACATCTAAACTTTCAATTTTGAAATATATACCATTTTATTCATTCATGCACGAAAATATTTCTAATATTTCTAAAATTAAACTAATTGCATTTCTTCATATGACATGAAATTCTTGGGTTGAGTGGATGTAGAACATAAACATTAAATGTTGGACATTTATATAAATAGATAGGATTAATTATCTGAAATGCATGTAATTTGCCACTAAAATTTATGTAATGAAGATATTTTTTATATTTTAATGATAGAGAGAGAGAGAGAGAGAGAGAGAGAGAGAGAAAGTACAAAATCCCATTAGACAGGCAGTGATGCTGGGATTGAAAGCAACAGCTCCTATTCATTAGTCGGCCATTGAATTAGAGTAGACCCCCACTGCTCGCCAGACCAGAGGACACACCCCATCCTCTCTCTCTGTCCTTCTCTCTCTCCCCCCTTTCTATCTCCCCCTCAGATAACCTCTACTCCCACCATGGATTCCAAATTCTTATCCCCTGTCTCCAAAAAGCTCTCTGCATCTTCTCCATCTTCTTCTTCTCTGCTCGGTAATGGGCGCAGGGGTACCGAGAGAACCACTTGGTCTCGTGATTCTCTTTCTTCTTCTCTTCGCTTCTTCTTGTCGCTGCCGTGGCTGGAGAATGGTGGAGGAACTCAACGTCCGGAGGCCGGAGGCGCAGAGGAATCCAAGGCTCTTCCTTGCTTTCTTACCAAAAGCAATACCAGTCCCACCTTCTGGCCCCGCAAAGCATCATGACTCTTCCGGTTTGCAGAGAACTGGAAGAGGATAGCAACATCAAACTCGTAGATATATCTATAATATTCTTATATATATACTATGTCAGAATGGGCTTCTTAATTATTGGATTTGTGCTGAAATTAGCATGAATTATTCAATGATCTTTAAGCCTTTTTTATATAATTTTCGCTTCTGTTTTCAGGATTTCAATTACAATGCTCCACATATACTGTTCGGCCACGTAATGTATTAAACTATTTAGTTTTTAGTAATTTTTTTTTTTTTTAGAAAAAATTTTTCCTCATGAAAACTTGTATCATGATTTCAATTACAATGCGCCACATATACTGTTTGGCCACGTAATGTATTAAACTATTTAGTTTTTAGTATTCAATGAGACTGAAACGTACACCGACGTATTGTGATTAGAGTCCTCATTTAAAATTGAATCAGAACTTCTGGTATAATATTCCTTTCTTCAGGAGGTGATTCTATTTCTTAAGTTCTGTTTTGCTAGCCATGGGAAGTCAGTATTTTGTAATTCTCTACCTAAATATGAAACGAAATTTAACAGATTTTACAAAGCAAATTCTGTATTATGCATGCAAATTCCCCTTTTTAATATATAGTTTTGTGAAGTAAATAATTAAATAATTTTTTATCTTTAATAAATACAATATTTAAATGCTAAGAAAAAAATTATTAAATTAATTTAGAAATAATTTTATTTTACTATTAATCTTTTTATATAATAAATATATTTGCTCTTGATTTTTATTATCAATTTTTTAAAATAAATAGAAAAATGTTAAATACATGAAATGTGTCCACCATACCCCTCTGTGCAATCAATTTATAGGTCTGATGGATGACTTGATGCAGCACTGTTGCCAATCCACGCCAGTACTAAAATGCTTTTTTCACATCCATACCACAGAATTCTTACACCTAAACTTCATTCATCAAAATACCACCCGTCATTTTAGCTTTTAAGAAAATGTCATATACATTTTCATCTAAGGTAGTATGTATGTAAAATTTAAACTTAAATGTGTGAAAAATCAGCCTTACTTGGTCAAAGCCCGCAACTAACTAGCCTTGTAGATCTAATTGGTCAAATTACTTAGAAAATACAACTATCGTCGAAGAGACCCGTTAAGATGATCTGAGAACCTTGCTTGTCGTTGTCTTACATTAGTTGTCGAGCCGACTTGCCAGACTAACTTGGCGAACGGGCATTTCAATCTAGTCCATCCGTTCCTTATGATGAACTTATTAAACAGATTCACTCATCCCGCACACTGCCTCACCAATCATGTGAACTATCATAATGTAAATGTAAAGATTGACGTCAAGGACAAGCATATGCCACCTTCTCATATATGAGCACATTTTCATCACGATATCGTTGACAATTTCTATAAAGCTTCTTGAATATGTACAAAAGGGGGAAATGGGGCCGGAGAGGAACTATTCTCGCCCGCATCTTCTCATTAAATCAACTTCTCCGCTCAATCAGAGAATGATAGAAAAAAGAACATATAATTCAAATATAAACTACACATTTGTTGAGAAATTAGGGGAAATTAATGCAGGAATCAACAAACACAAAAAAGAACACATATTTAATGAGATTCGACAGTCTGCCTACTTTTTCGGGAGCAAGAGCGGCGGCTTCCTGGTTTCTTAAAAAAACAGTGCATCCCCTTAGGATTACAAATACAGTATATATATATATATATAATCATAGTGTACAATATATAATTACAACATGAGCTCGGCTCGATAAGTGGCTCGTGAATTGAGCTCGATGAGCTAACAAACTAAGCTCAAGCTAACATTGATTCGACTCGTTAGTTTGTGAGCCGGCTTGTTTAAAAAAAATTAATATAAAATACACTCAAAATATATTAACTTTAAAAAATTTTATGTTTTATATGAAGTAATTTCATATTATTTCTTTCTTAATTGTTCATTTTATTATAACAAAATTGTAAATTAATATTATTTTCTCTCTTTTATAATAAATAATAAATATGCCCGCCCTTGAGCCAGTTCGAACTCGAGCTCGATAAAGCACAAGTCGACGATTACAAGCTCAAGTCGACGATTACTCGAGCTCAATTAGACTCGTTTACACCCCAAGTAAAAAACTACTAAATCCCCTAAACTACTAAAATTAAATTATGTTATTTAACCTTCTTCCGCCCCTTTTATCCTCTTCCTTCATTTTGCTCACACAAAACGCTTAAGGATATATTTTATTTTTATTTTCATACGTATAATAATAAAATAAATTAAATTTTATAATTTATATGAAGATGATGAGCCGCGCTAAAGTTAGCTAGCTTGAGGGCATGGGAGGCGGAGTGGTCCCTTGATTTGCCGGGATGCGGTCTCTAGATATTCGGCCAGGAATCCCCCAGTTTTTGTTTCTATTATCATTACTATAAAATATCAACGTTTTTTTTTTTTAATCGGAATGAGAATTATTAAATGTATTTAAAAATATAAATAATTTAAATGAGGTCATTTTGATGTATTTATGGGTAAATAGTATGCTTATGTTATTGGAAATGTAAATTTTGAGATATTTAGTGATATGCATGAAAATCCCCTTTAAGATAATGATGAGGGTATGTTTGATGTGATTTTAAAGATTTGAGTGGTATGTACATAAATATTAATGTTTAAAAGTAACATATGTAAATACATAAAATATGTTTGATATGTATGAAAATGTCGCCAAAAATTATAAGAGGACAATTATAAAGGGATAAGGGGGCAAGTCCCCTTTGATTCATTTAGACAGTATAAAATTAGATTCTGTTTGTAGCAGCTGCAATTGTTTGAAAGAAGTAGATGTGAAGCTGCTGAAAAAATTATTGTTGTTAAAAAAATCGCGACGAATAATACAAAAATTTTTTTTTATTATTATTTAGAAAAAGTCAAAAAAATAATTTTCTAGCAGCCACCACAGATAATCGTCTGGTGGGAAAACTCAACGTTCAGCTACGGTATTTGAAACGCAAGAAAAACACAGTTTTGCTAAACAGGAAAAACTATGGTGCGGCACCAGACCGAAACCGCACCGCCACCCCAAACACATCATTAAGTTTAGTTTATTTAGGATATATTATTTGGAAGGGTTAATATTTTATTTTCAACATGTTAACCATATATTTATTTTGAAAAATCCAAAACCATATTTAGCCAATATCTAACATCAATTAAAATAAATCATAATTGTGCTATTTTTAAAATAATATTAAAGAAGAACACTCAATCAAATAATAATTTTTATTGAAAAATGATATAAAGTTAATCTAGAGATTTCGATAAATTAATCTGAAGGCACATTTTATACATCGTAATATTTTGAAAGCTATGGATGTAATTGTCCCATTTTTTATATGAAGTCGATGTATTTTAATGCAAATATTATTTGCTCTTGAGGTTAAATTTTAAATAGGGGCATTTACATATCTCATGCCCAGAATTTTATAGTTACACAAATAACACTTTACAACTGTAATAAAAGTGATTTTGGGGATAAGTATGTAAATAAATGAAAATTGTGTGCTACATCTGTAAATTTCTATTTAAATATCGGGATACAGATGCCCGAAACCGTTACGAGCACGAGTGCATAACCGCTTGTTGCTGCTGTGCAGAGCTCGTAACACTATCATGGATTTGCGCGGGAAACGATGAGACCTCCATTTCCCCATAGATGTCGGTGACCGAGGAGTGGAAATACATTTCCCTGAGAGGTTCGCAAGCTGCTCCTGATTTCTCACGGCGGTTGGTTTCCTTGATTTCTGCTTTCTCGGCGTGTCGCATTGCCGGTTGCTGCCTGGAGATGGTGATCTCTTATCTTTTCACTTAGTTATTTTTATATTATTTGTTGTTGTTGCTGTTATGTGATATTTCTCTATAGTATTTGACTTCAAAATGCATTCAAGTTATGGTTTCTGTTAGGTTTTGAAATGTCGTGTTTCCATGTTGATCCTTCTGGGTAAAAATTTTTTAGGGTTTTGAGATTGGGTTTTGGGTAAGTAGTTTTTCGCTAGGGTTTTAGAGGAGAGAGAGAGTAAATGGGGCACCCTTGGGCAAGTTTCGTTGTCGTGTTTCCATGTTGATCCTTCTGGGTAAAAAAATTTTAGGGTTTTGAGATTGGATTTTGGGTAAGTAGTGTTTCGCTAGGGTTTTAGAGGAGAGAGAGTAAATGGGGCACCCTTGGGCAAGTTTCTATATTATCTGCAGCGGTATATTTTATATAGTTCACTAGAATGGTTAGCCATGGGAGAGTTGAGTGGGGAGACGATGCCAGGAGAAGCAGAGTTTTGTATGGCCTAAGGGCTCTTTAATGCAGAGCGCGCACTATTGAATGATTCTCTGATCACTGTGAAATTTATGGAATGGGTAAACAAAGCTAAGCGAGAAGGGGATAGAGGAAGAAAAGGTACACAATCCTATGGGAGAGAGACAGAACACATCTCGAAGTGGAGGAGAAAGAGGAAAAGAGGTTTCAAACTGCCATACTTTTCACTCAGGCCTCGTTTGATTGAGATTTTACTTTACTAAAGTACAAATGATAAATTTCAACACAAATTGCATCATTCTACACTAATGACAAATTTCTACATGGCCCTGAAGCAGAGAAGCCTGGAACAAATCAAGATCTGAAATGGGGAGCAAATGGAGTTGTGTTAAAAGTGATTAAGCTCAAGTTTTATAATCAACCGAACAATAAAATGGATAAAAGACGTTCTCTGAAACAAAATACGCTTCAAAAGCTTTATCAAACAAAGCCTGAATATTTTCCAAGTGCTTAATACAACTTAAATCACCTTTTATGTAAAAGAGTGGACTGATTATGTATTTAAAACATTGAATTCTAGTAATGAATTATGTGATGACTTATTATATATTTAAAATATTAAGCATAATGAAAGCATTTTCAAAAAAAACTATTTTGACATGGATGCATGTGGAGAAGCATGAATGGTTCATATTTTTCATTGTTTACTTGTGCCAAAAGGAACTCTTCTGTGATGGTTTGACATAACAGCCATGGTAAAGGAGGTAAAATAATTGGACCAAGAGCAAATTAAAGAAGGGGCATTTACATACATACCACACAATTCCTATATATTTACATATGTAATGCCTAAACATTCATATTTACATGCATTCCACTCAAATTCTTAACTTTATATAAAAAATGCCACCATTATCATCTTCTTAAAAGTGAAATACACCTTTTCATGTATAGATTTATGACAACAACGTGTTAAAATGTAAACATCAAACTTTGTGTGCTAGATATGTAAATACATAAGAATTGTGTGGTTAATTTCCCATTTAAAAATTACAAATGGAGGAAAAAGAATGTTCCGAGGATCATATCATTAGGGGATAATCAATCCTATAGCTAATCTCACTTAAGTGAATAAAATGAAGCTTTCTCGTGATTTGGGTGGACATCGGATTATGGAAAGATCAAAGGGAGCACAGGTGTTCATTGAAGTTTCAACAATTTGAATTTATTGATGAAAATTGTCGACCTCGTTGATTCTCTGATCACACTTTTATGACTAAAGAGGATGTTGCCGAAGTTCATCAGTGCAATTGAATTGTTAATTGAATCATATGAGGGAGATGGACAAATTTTAGATTATGATAGGGTAAAAATGAATTTGAATTTTTTAAAAAGTTTGAAATCTAACGGCCCTCTTCCTGACCCTCCTCTCCCCCAAAAATAATAATGATAATAATAAATAGAACATTATTCCTTTTCTACTTTTTATTTTTTGCTAGCTTACTTTAGCAGTAGCTGAAGCTATTTTAAAGCTTCAATATTTGATGCTGTAGCGCCATTATTGATCTCTAATAGCAGTGCTGTTGTTGCTCTTTGTTTTGGTTTGTGTATGCTTATTGCTTATTTTTTTGTTAATTCAAAGATAAAATCAGAGAAAAATTTTACTTTTATTGCAATCTGGAGGAGAAGACAATAACATATTGCTGTTTTAGATGAAAATAGTAACACAACAAAGATACTATTTTTTTTCCATTGGAGGTAGAGGTATAAAACAGTAAGAAAAGTCATCTACAACTTAAAAGTAGTGCTCAATCTCTCCTCGCCTTTGATTAATTTGTTATTTTTCTATTCTTTAGCCAAACTTTTGTCACCCCATATTATTTCGTTTTTAATTATGAATTTCCTTTTTTTTTCAGGCTAATATTTGTTTGCAATGCGGCGATATCGGTCTTAGTGTGGCTCTTGTTTACTGCGTTAAGTGCAGAAGTGCTGCAAGGCATAGGTATTTTGTCACTCTTCCACAAGCTTTCTGGGTTTCTGCAACCTTCTGCTGGCCATGATGAATTTGCTGTTTGTCTTGACTATTCAGCTATTGCCTAGAAGAAGTACCTGAAGATCTTGCTGCAGAAATCAATTGGTTATGCGAAGACTGCGTGAGTGAGCCTCTTTTTTCTGCCAGCAAGTCAAAGTTTCATCCGCCTACTTCTCTGGGGATAGTCAATGATGGAGTGCTAAAGGATCCTTTTTTGGAGATTGGTTCTGCTAATGATTGTTTGGCTAATCCTGAAGATCAGAATCCAGTTTCTAATGTTATTTTTGGTTCAGTTGTGGATCTGAAGGATCTGGACAATCAAATCTCCGGCAACTTAAAAAAGACGACCTTAAGTTGCACGGTCAATGATGCCTTAGGTACTGATAAGTTTGATAATTCTCAACCTCTCGTTGAGGCTCAAGGTACTGATATTCAGTTTGCAGCTAAAAGCGCACCTTTTATCTATGTTGAAGCTTCTGAAAATCTTATAATAGGAGGTACCTCTAACTGCGACATTTGTGGATTAGGAAGATCATCCGGTGGCTTTGGGCGAGAAGAAGATGAAATTGATGAGTTTGAGAAGGAAGGGTCAAAGAGGAAAGGATTGAATTTACCAGGTGAGGATGATTTACTCGGTTCTCATCCTCTTGTTAATGGAGAAGGAACCGATCTTTCATTACCAGTTAAAAGAATGTCGAGCACTTCTTCTGTGCCTTCTGAAGGTCAGATAATAAGGACTGGTTGTAACAACGGAGAAGAAGAACTAGAACAACATGACAAGAGAAATTCAAAAAGTAGGAGATTGATTCTGCATACTAACAATTTTTATCCTCTAACTGATAGTCAAGTTACCAGCATTTCATTCGTCAAGAAAAAATCGTCTGGTGCTCCTGTCAAACAAGCTGACAGGCCTACAGGGACAAGCTTAAACAATGACACTCATCCCTTAGATGCTAGAAGATCATCTGCCTGCTTAACCCTAAAAATAGATGAAGTAGAGAAATGTGGAAGGGGAAGTCCAGAGAGAAGATCAATTGTACCATACAATGATGGCCAGGGTACCATTTCATCTGCTGTTGAAGGGATAGTTTGTACTTCTATTGAGCCATCTGACAACAAAGCTTCAAAAAGGACCTCAAGCTTCGGAACCAATTCATTAGCCGTGGTAGGATCATCCACCTGCTTTAGGCTAAAAGAAAGTAAAATTACATCGGGCGCTATGAGAAGGAGAAATAGAAAAATGAGGTTAAGAAGAAAAAAATTGATTCAACAGATTAAGGATGGCAGACAAAATTTTTACCCTGCCATTTTTCATAAACATAACAATATTCCAGTGGTAGCTAAAAGATTACAGGGTATTCCTGTGGAGGCATCGAACAAACAGGTTAATAGATACAGGAAGGATCAGTCAGAGAGCAGGAATTTGATTCTAAGAACAGAGGCTGAATCAAACAGTTTGTGTCCCGTGATTGATAGACGAGGTACTAATACGAAGTTTGCAGCTGAAAGATTACCCTGTACTTCTGTCGAGCTTCCTAGAAAACCCTCTTTTCCTGTTTTTTCTCATATTTGGAGGTTAGATATATTTGACTCTTTTAACTATGTGCCAAAGCTTAAATTTTGTTTGGTGCAATGATAAGATTTACATATGCTTCCAATCTCCTTGCGCGAGTTATTCTTTTTTTTTCCTTAATTTTGATATTTTGTTTGGTCATTGCTTGTATATGTAACAGAGGATACTTCAATATTGACAATGTAGAATTGGGCCCCTTGAGTGCTCATCTTTCTAGTAGCGCATGCTTAAAGGTGTGCAACTTAGCTAAAGAGTTGCCTTTGATTCTTCACATGCAGAAGCTTCCAAGGTTGGTTGCTTGGCCGAATAGTTTCAAGGTTTCATCCCCAACTGATGAACATGTAGCCCTTTACTTCTTTCCTGGATCATACAGGTACATGTATTTTTTTAAGAAGAGCAAAATGTCAAAATAGTCCATTGACTGTTTACATAGGTCATTTTAGTCACAGAGTTTATAAAACTGCTAATTTAGTCTCCAAACTGTTTTAATTGGGGCTGAAATAATTCTCAACGGGGACTATATCAACCCTTATTAAAAGAGTCGGGGGACTAAATTGACACCTTTATATACTTTGAGACTAAAATGATCCCCTTGCAAAGAGTCAGGGACCATTATGTCTTTTCGGTATTTTTTGTACTTATATTACACAAAGCAAATACATGTTTACATAGCTGAAACTTCCTTGGAGGGCACATAGGCACCTTATTTTGTACACTGATGGAAAAAAAATTTACTCCGAAAACCTGAAACTAAGTATTTACTCATCCTTCTTAGGGGTGAAACTGTACTTGATGAGCTTGTGGATGATATCATCAACAATGATTTGATGTTGAGGTTTGAGTTTGATGAAGTCGAGTTGCTCATCTTCTCCTCCTTCGTGCTGCCACAAGACCATCAAAGTGAGTATTTATGTCAACAAGGAAAACCAAGCATCAATATTTTTTAGGATTATTGGGTTTCTTTAGAAGAAGTTGAGCATTGCAATTATTTACACATTAGGAAATTGCAAAACATTTTTTTCTGAACAATCTTTCTAATGTGGTTTGGTATTCATTTGTTTCATGTTAGGGTTCTATGGAAAATATTATCCATGGGGAGTTTTCAAGCCAAAAGTCGGCAATTTACCAGCAGATCCTCCTACTGGGTATCAAGTGGTTAAATCTTTGAATCCTGTGAGAATAAATGAAGTGGAGGACATTAACGATGGGTCATGCAATCACTCTGCCCAAGAAAGCAATGATTTTACTTTGATTAGATCCTCGATTCAACCAGGAGAAGGAGAGTTAGGGGTTACTTATGATTCAATGGAGGAAGGAGAGTTCCGACCACTTGCTGAAGAGAAAGAGAGAAAGTTGATATAGTGAACTCGAGATTAATGTTGAGGGCCTTTACGTTTTGATGAAAAATACATCGATGGTGGTTAACGACGGTTAAGAATTGAAAAATCTAGATGAAGTCACCGTATTGCAGACTTGATATCTCTAAAACTTACACTGTCAAGCTGTTTTCATCATGTGGAAAGCAAGGTCATTGCTACTTTGAGCTCGGTCAAGGGATATATTGATCTAAGTTGGAGCTAAAAGAAGTTTTGATTCCTCTCTTTTGGTAATTTTGATGGCTAAATCAAGAGGGAGGGAGGTATGCTGTTGACACTACACACTCTTATTCGTTTTTGCACTTTCTTTTAATTGTGTGTAATGTGAAAGTTTTGTTTCCTTCAAGTTCATGTTAAATTCATTTGTCTTGTAGCAATTTTAGACATAATTATTGGTTGTTCACTCGATTGTAAAAAGTGTCACAATCTTGGTAGGTTAAGTAGAGAGATTCAATTGGATCAAAAGAAGTATTGCTCTTTGAAAACAAGTTCTATTCATTAACCACTTGAGCTTATATAGAACTTTACAATATTTTACAAATAAATCTCTAGATTTTTTATATATTTCCTACTTATAAGTAGGACTCTAAACTAGATACAAATCTCAACACTCCCCCTACAAACGTTTAGTATTCAGTTGTAGTCCGTCTGTCATCAGCACAACTCACCCAGTTAGAATCCCAACATGTCCGGCTATGTTAGCAAGTCTAGCACATACTTATTCTAAAATAGAACAATCCTCTCTGCTCCATGAACCACCTCAATCCCAAGGAATTATCTAAGCTATCTTAGGTTCTTCATCTCATACTCTTAATCTGCCCCAACCTTGCCTTCAGCTGCACAATCTCTCTCTTATTATCACCAGTGACTATCATATCATCCGCATACACGGCAAGCATAGTAATGTGACCACCAATTCGTCCAATGAATATCGTGTGGTTGACATTAATTTGTTGATTGCCCTTGCTTATCATTGCTCTCTAAAACCTATCAAACAAAGCTCGAGGAGACTGTTTCAAACCGTTCAATGACTCCTCCTGTCACATACCTTGCCCACTGTTTGTTTTGTGCCGAAGTCTGGAGTTACTATATGTACACCTCTGGCAAATCCTCATGAAAAAACACATTCTTTACATCCAGTTGGTATAGCCTCCATCTACTATTCACTCGGTAGTGGCGTGAGGCATAAATCATCCCGGCCGCGACAAGATTTGTCTAAGACTTTGCGAGACTTGGAGATTCAGCCGAGGCGACTAACCTACCAGACATGCGAGACACATGTTTTGTAAGACTCGAGTTAAACGGCCAGTGAGTCACGACTCATCTGACTGCAGCTGGCCAGCCGACTCGAGGCAAGAGAGATGCCATGCGGCCAAATGCCTCAACCGACACGGACTTCGGAAGACACAGTCGCCACTCGATCGATCTCCTCAATCAGTTGAACTGAGCCAAGTCGGTCCGCCGATTACTACTTTATTTAAATTCAAATTATAATATAGATATGGTATAAAATTCATATAATCAATTAGAGCATTAATTATATTAAGAACGATTTTCATAACTGTTCTCTTCTTCCTATAATTGTACAAAATACACTCTTATAAATAAAAGACAAAAATACGAATAAATAAGACTCTCTCCCTCGGTTCTCTTGACAATAAATTCTTGACACACTTAACTTTTCTCTTCTCTCATTTACTTGACTCTTAACTCTTGAAACGTGTTCACAAAAGACAATTTGAGATCCAACATACATGATTTGGAGTTAGAATTGTTAATGGGCTCCTCTTATAATTTTCACTAAGTTCAATAAAATTTTATTGTCATTCTAAGGTCAGGCTCTACCTAGCATTAGCTGAACTCTGAGATAGCATTTCTAATTAAGCCAAGTTCAAATGACTGAGATTTACATACATACCACTTTATTCCTATGTATTTACATGTATAACACCAAGACTTCAATTTTTTGCATTTCACCTTGAATATGCCTGGAAAGGTGTAATTCGTTAACTACTTAGATTTAATAAGTACTTGGTGTGGGACTAAAAAGGCCCCATAGGTGGGCAATTTTCAACTCTAAAATATAATTTTTTTTTTAATTAAATTAACTAGTAGTTATTAGTTTATTTAGAGGGGCACTTCAATATCATTATATAGGATCAAGAATGATTTTCAAGGTAGTTTAGAAATTCAACGATTGTGTTATGTTGGAAGATGCAAGACGATATCTCAGAAGAGGTAAAATTGATATTTCAAAAAAAAATTAAAAACAAAATAGCTGTTTTATATATAAGATTCCTATATTTACTAATAATTTTTTGAAGTGTTCAAAGAATGGTAATACCCCCATCACATTTTTTTGATAGACAAACATCATGTCGTGTAAATATTATTTAATGTTTATTTTTTTCTTGGAAATCCTATGATATGGGAAAAATAATTCTATACGGAGATCGCATGCATGCAGAGATGCATGCGGTGTCCGATCTCCACCGTCAATCACCGCAAAAATGTATTTCGGTGGGCTTCACTTTAACATTTTTTTTTTAAAAAAAATTTTGATCGACGGTGTAGATCGGACACCGCATGCATCTCTGCATCCGAATGGAATAATTTTTCTATAATCTTGGGGAGAGTCAAGGAGAATTGTATAAATAGAGGCACTCTCGGGCCTTTTGAGGGAGCGATTTTTTACACAGCCCGTATGCAATATGCAGTGTGCATACGGGTTCCAATCAGAAATTATATTTTATTTTAATTTTTTTTAAAATTTAAATAAGGCACAACTTTATTTTGGTAAGGGAGCTTTTAATTGGTTCAAGTGCAATAATTTTTCATTTTGAGTACATCTGGATCCTCTCTTTTCATTTCATTTGTAAAATCGGAGCTTAGGGCTTGGCGAGCAATACAAGGTATTTCAGAGGTCTTCATAAGTTGCAAGTCCGTCGCTTGCCACGGAGCTAAAGAAGGGGAAATATTTGTGTACGTCTTACATACGCAGAGTTGTGTACATATTAGGTTATTCGGAGGATACATGTAGGGTACACTAAGGTTATACCTCTTGTAATTCTTCCTGTAACCTAATTATAATCTATTTGTACCCTCCGAATAACTTAATATGTACGCAACTCTAAGACATACGCAAATATTTCTCCTAAAGAAGAGGGAAGCAATAGCGGAGATGTACCGTCGTACAAAACGACAAGGGAGTTTGGCAAGAGGGACTAGTTTTCTCTCTCTTGCGAGCGAGTGATTATTCTATGTGAAATCCAATAAAATTTATTTTTTAAAAAAAATTAAAAATGAGCCCCTTTGACATAATTTATTTATTTATTTTTTTTTTTTTGTAAATAAGAGTATTTTTATTGATTTACTGCACACATTTCTATTTGCGGTGCAGAGAAGATGGACGGAGAAGGAATTTGACGGGAGAAGGTGCATTTTAGAATTTGATATGAAGATTTGGGTGGAAAATGTCAAAAAAAGTAAAGCATAGGTATTAGATATGTAAATATATAGGAATTGGGTGGTATGTATGTAAATGCTTCTTTGAATCGGTACCCATCTGCCTGTGAGAAAGCTTCAAAAAAAAAAATAGCGACCTGTGTTTCCATCATGATTGCTACAAACTGACAAATATGAAATTGCAATAAAGCCCTCCTCGCATGAACAGTTTTTGCGAAGTTTTAAGTTTGTTTGAGACATTTCTCACCAATTTTTTAGAATTTTTTTATGATTGAAAAAAAATACAAGCTTCAATTGCATTTGTAATGCAATAAAATTACCGGCCTTAATCACAAGATGAATCTTACAAAAGAATCGATTAAAAAAAATTATACAGCAATAAATGAAATCAATTATTTGTAAATTGTATTTTCTTCCTCAAATCCTAACTTCCGGCGAGCTTCCCCTGCTTCATGAAATCAAATCCGAACTTCCGGCGAGCTCGTGATGGGAGTAACTCCAGCAAATCCTCTTCTTTGTGGGATCTCAAATCCTAACTTCCGGCGAGCTCGTGAAGGGAGTAACTCCAGCAAATCCTCTTCTTTGTGGGATTTGGTATCTGGATTTGCAGACGGAATGGCTATAGAGAAGATGGAAGTGGATAAATTCAGCTCGGATATATGGAAAGCTGGATTTCAGTTTTTTTTTTTTTGGGTTTGGCTGAATTTGAGTTAAATTCATGTCTAAATCCTGCAAACGCCCCCTAAAAATCCTGAAATTGGTTGAAGAGATCCCACGCAGCGACTCCAGGAGACGGTACTACAGAAGGGGAGAAGAAGTTACCGGAACTGTTCCAGAAGTTCCCTCCGCCGACGCCGACGCCGCCGGCGATCGAGCCGCCGGGAGATGACCTGCCGACTTGAAAACCAGCCGGACTGAGATCGTGCAAGAAGTTCTGAAAACTCGAATCGATGTACGATGGCGAGAAGAAGGCCGGGGAAATGGGCGGAAGATTCGCCGGAACCGGCGATAAGATCCCGGGAATATAACAACACCGGTCCGTCGACAGATCATTCAAAACATCCAAATCGGCTACGGAGGAGGAAGAAGCGGGCCGATCGGCTCCCGGGCTCTGAATCGTCCGATGGATGGTCGCAAGCTTGGCGGCAGGGGAGAGGGTTTCCGCCGGCGGAGTTTGTGGATCGGGGAATCGTGGACCTGTGAGTCGCTGAACGAGGTCCATGAAATTGGAGGGTTCGACGTGGATGACCTTAGGTGAGATGGTGTAGATGATGATCGGCTCTCGCGAGTCCTGCGAGGGAGCGATCGGTGGAGGATCGAGCTGGGGTGGGGGAAGTGGGGGCTTCTTAATCTTGTGAGATTCTTTGCTTACTCGGAGAGGGGATGGTCGGGGGCCTTGGAGCTGGAGCTGTCTCCGGGGAGAAAGGTCGAGGTGCGACGGCGGCCGTTGGGGCGCAGGTTGGCCGGAATCCATAGGGTTAGCGTTAGGGTGGAGTCGGAGCTTTGCAGCTTCGGAGCTTTGGAAATGGAGAGGATGGGAACACGCGGGTTTTGGTCAAATTGGGAGTGCCGATTTGGAATTAAAAATACGCCGGGAAAATTCCATTATTATTTATTTATTTTAAAAAGGGCATTTACAAATATACCAAGCAAAAGTATGTATTTAGACATCTAACATCTAAATTTTCATTTTTACATAAACAAAAATTAAAAAAAAATATTTCCTTGGCATAAAGAGATGGGTGAGAAAGAGATAAGATACTTTTGTGTATGATTTTAATTTTTTTTTTTTATATTTGATAATTCTCTATTTATGGGTGACTAGGACTATTATGAAATGGCAACTACATCCTCAAATTTATTTAATCGATCGAGCTCCAGTATCTGATGGGTCATCTTCTTGCGGGTACGCCTCTACTTGTGCGGTCTTTAAGTGGTTCATATCTTGATCGGTCGGACTTTGGACCAGTTGACCTTTGGTTGGCCGACCTATCACTCTTTCGCCAATTGATTATTGTCGCTAGGTCATCCTCTAAATGCAAACTCATAACTTGCAAGTTTGATTGAAGTGTTCCTTCAATTTTTTATGCCCAAAAAAAGAAAAAAAAATAGAACTTTGATTGAATGCTAGATTAGTGAATTTTTAACCGGGACTAGGATTGAAGATTTGGTGACTAAGGGTTTGTGTTAGGTTATTCAACTTAGGGCTGGATAACACTGTCGCTCGAACAACTTTATGATGGCTACTACTGTGGCTAGGGGTGTCGAATTGGGCATGCAAGTTGAGTTTGGGTTCCGGTTCGACATGAAACTGATGCAACCAAAATGAGTTTAACCCGAATGTTATATGGGTCGAAAATCTCAACCCGAACTAGAAGTGAAACACAACTTACCGACTCTAACTAGAAGTGAAACACAACTTATCATGTAACACCAAAATGGTGTCGTGATAAACATGAAAGTTAAGATAGTAGATATGTAAATATACAAGAATTATATGATATCTATGCAAATTTCCCCAAAAAAAAAGATTCAAGCTCTCATCACATATGTTTTTTTTTAATAATGATGTTTAGTTAAATAAAGTATAAAATTTAAAATTCTAGTATTATGTTTTGAAATGAAATCCAAAGCAAATAAGAATGATAACACATTATAATAATACTAGGGTGATTAAAACAAATATAAAATAAAGGCTATTTAATAACTATACTAAAAAAATAAATTAATAACTTTTTTTAGAAGAAATAAATAAATTAAGAACAAGAAACTCAAACTCAACTTTGTTTGCGAGCAATTAACTCGTGCAAAAATAAACTCACTATTCATATTATGATTTCATAAATTGCATTTTAATGTCGTGGCATTGTTAGCATGAACGATGTCGTATTTTGACTACTTCAACATAATGAAAAATGAAATGTTATCAGCATATCATCACGTTAATTTTTTTTTAACATGATCTGTTAAAGTGTGATGATTGAAAGATAGTTGTTGTGATATAATGAGAGTGTATCGTGTAGGCTAGTTAATCTTTTAGGAGAGTTGATCTCCTTTGGGAGTTAATCTCTTAGGAGAGTTAGGGTCCATGTAGGATGGCGATTTGCCCGTAAGTTGATAACTATATATTCTTCTCCAGTCCTCACAAAAATATCTTTTATGCCCCTAATTTGATAACTAAATCATCAAAGAATTTCTTAAATTTAAATTAATAATTAATAATTATCAATTTACCAAAACTGTCTGACCGAGACAATATGCTTTGAGAGCAGTTCAATATAACTATTAATAGGATGGCGGGCGATATTGAACTCTTAAGTCAGGTTGTGGCAAGAGATAAATCGATGACTCTTCTTAGCTTGATTGGTCATAGTCCTTGGTTTTGATGGCTTACTCTGGTCAGCCTCCAACCTCGATTTGGTAGGTTACATCTGCTCAAACTAGTCTTTTTGTCTTCCATCAGTTGACCCTCCTTGGTTGTACTTCTTTGCTTACAAATCCATTGGATCTCCTTGAGAATCATGGCGGTGCATACCCAACGTAAGCTTCGCATAATTAATAATATTAAACTCAAACAATTTTACTTTCCTCGCCAAGAGAGTATCATGAACACATCTTCTAAATTTTATTTGAAGGAAATAGAAATAAATCGTTAAAGGTGTAAAAATTTTGCACTATTTTGAAGTGCACATATCAAACTTGGGGGTTAGATACGTAAATACGTAAGAATCTTGTGGGCTGTATGTAAATTTCCCTGTTATTAAAAGGGCACAGGATCAAATAAATCATCCAGTTACACATCTAACAACTAAAATTTTATATTTACATAACAATATAGATTTCAAATGGAATTAAAAAAAAACAAGCATAAAAAGACAAAATTTCATTCCAGATAAATTAATAATAATAATAATAATATTTTCCTATACCATTTAAAAATTTGGTAAATTTACATGCATACCAACAGTTCTTATGTATTTACATACATAACGCCCAAAGTCTAATACTTACACCCCCATAACACTTAACGAGACAGTGATGATGATATCTTTGTTGTGATGTTAAAATTTTGAGTGGAATGCATGAAAATATACATGTTTAAGCCTTAGATATGTAAATATATAAGAATTGTGTGGCATGGATGCAAATGTCACTGAAAAATTATACTATTCTAGGAGCAAATATAAAAAACTTTGATATACATGATGATCCTGCATAAAAAGTAAAATTTCATGAAGAAAAGCTAAGGAAGAGCTGGTCACGGCAGCTGATGACATTAGCCTGCTCTCAGCATTTTCAAGAGCTTCAAGAAATAGAGCAAGAGTAGCAAGAGCTGGTTGCTTACTGAAGAGGATCGGATGCAGCAGCTGCAGTAACGCAGGGCAGGTTGAATATTTTTTGAGGAATTTGCTGTTATGAATCGAGCATGGAGTTATAACACCGCCAATAGTTGGTTCCAGCAACTGAACAAGGAGAAATTATTGCGTACGGACACCGCATGCATCTCTGCATGTGGTGTCCGATCCTAACCGTAGATTACGGTGATTTACGGTCAGGATTATTTCCATTTAAAAAAAAAATAGATGGGGCCCATCGAAATACATCAGGACCATAGATCAGGTGATGTACGGTCCGGATCGAACACCGCACGCATTATGAAATAATTTTTCCTGAACAAGAGACAAAAATACATCCATCCTTCTCACATCCCTCTTTGCCTATTCAATTTTCCAAATAAAATAAATAAATCAATCAATGTTAAATACATATCACTCAATTCTTATGTATTTACATATCTAGACCCAAAGTTTGATATTTGTACTCAAAACACCTTAGTGTCATAGACTCGTGCTTAAAGCCCCAAATGAAGTTGTGTAAATGCAAGGTCATAATAATATTTGCAAATATTTCAACATTTAAATGATTTCAGGGCATATAAATTTCAAGAAATCAAATGCAACACTTAGAGATCTGTGAGGGTATTTTTAAATTAATATGAGTGAAAGTTTGGATATTCTCAAGTTGTGTAAATTTTAAAAATCCACATAAATCAGTCAGCCATGCATGATTTCTGATTTCTGCATGTCTTTTGGAAACAAAGAACCTCTCATATTCATATTTAAAAGATCATTCAAGTCGCTTAAAGCCTATAAAATAATATAAATTATACAATTATATAAAATCTTAACTATATGGGCTCCAACCAAATTTCTAAATGTCTTAACGAATAGCTAAGAAATGCTACGCGAGTTAAAGCTAAATTTACACTCAAATAATTATTATTTTGAAAAGTAATAAACTGGGTCGTCTTGCTTATAGCGCGGGATTGTAAGTCTCACTCAACTATTTCGATCACTCTCCTCTTAACAACTACAGTTGACGAGTCTAACATATTCTAATATATATCACCCTCCTTATAAGGATATTTTTCAAATGGTTTATATTCTAAAGATCTTATATTGATAAATTTCACGTGAATCTTAAAGATGAAAGTTTTAAATGTTCAAATCCCTGATGATGGCCGAGTTGATGAAATATTTCAATTTTCAAAATAATCAACGACATTATTTAGGTAAAATCAATCACTAAAAGTAAATTTTGTCCTCCCTCTGCAACAGTTTGTAAAGGGAGACAAATTTCTAACTGATTTCAACTCATAAAGAGCAAATGTTACCTCACTATATTCACACTCAAAATAATCTCATGCAAGTAAGAACGCGGCTCAAGTCCTCTATCTGCGTGATTTTGCAACTAAATGACACCACAAAACGATAGTTACGACCAGAGGCCTCCGATCCCTCTAATCAGCTGATTGTTGCCAAACGAAACCATTATATTGTGTTCATGGCCGCAGTCTGTATGTTCCCAACAACTTTCTACTTTTTAAATTATTCATCATAATGATGCATTTAATTGATACAAAGTCTTCTCTCAGCTAAAATGGACTTAAATATGTCCCCGTAGACAAACATTTATCCCATACCTATAAGGGTCTCTTGAACGATGCAACTTATGATTACTGACATGGATCATTCTGTTAGGTTGGATCGACTGCCTCCTCTGACTAAGTAGATCAGGAAGCATGACGACCTAGGACAATGAAACTATGAGATCTTAATCAGCTTCATCATTATTTCTCCCACCATCCACTTTAAGCTCCAGTGACAAATTTTAAATTTTAAAATGTATATATGTTGTTATTATATGATAAATATTTCAACTCTAAATGACTAGCCATAATTGAAAGTGTTCTCCTGTTATCGGGAGGGATAATTAACCCTAGAAACTTGTGTCTATGGGAAACCCCAAACCCCATATCAAAAAATTCTCATAAAATGGGGGCGAAATCTATGAGTAATGCTTTATCTACAATACAATCTGACTTCTGAAAATCTTACCATCAAGCTCACAACAAACAAATAAAACTAGAGCTCGGGGCGTCCAATTTTAGAACCAGTTAAAGCTAATGGAATGGATAACTGGATGCAGGTAGGCGTGTTGTATTAAAGGGCATGGAATTGGTGTACTGATCCAAACATAAACAACACAGCTTGCGATTGAGATGATGAAGTGTCAAGGTGTATTACA